GGAGGAGGAGAATGTAGGGTTTCCTGTCATCATTTTCACTTGGAGTCCCCGATGGGTTATTTATGTTAGGATTATTCGTGCAGATTTCCCATTTGCATCGCCACCCAAACAGGATGCAACCTTTTGCCCGCTGGCTTCTACAGACTTCTGAGTGAAACAGCAGGCCAGCCTATAAAAGAAGAAAAATAGAAAAAGGAGCCTACAAATGTGAATTTCATGCATCCGGAGGCCTGAGCTTAGAGCCCTGGTCAGAGCCGCTCCCCGAGTCCTACCCCACGTCCCTGCCCCCAACCTCAGCAGCTCCCCCTGCCTGACGCCCTTGATTTCTCTGCGGATTTTCCGCCGCCGCCGCGACGGGCCACGAAATCGGAAACCTCTCCGAACCTTCATCTCTTCTGCTTCCTTCACATCTCCGCGCCCGCCCGCCCGCGCGCCCAGACACCCACCCGCATCCGCTTCAGGTGGGGAGGATGGAGCCTCGGAACCCAAACACGTCTAGGCTAATAGTAGGTGCCTTTTCCCCTTTCAGAAACGTTTGCAACAGGAAGAATGGTGCGTCAGGGACACCAGAAGAGGGCAATTCCCTGGCGTAGATCAATGGCTGGATAAGGTGCCCTCGCGCCCCATCCATCCCCGACTCAGGTCCCCACTTGTGGGCTTCCCGTAGGCAATGCTTGGTCTCTTCGGAAAGAAGTGGCCTGATCCTGCAGGACTCTTCTTCTCAGGCTCTTACTTTCTCCTAGACGTGGGGAGTTTTTGATCTTGAACCTGCGGGTGGGTGGAGGTAGTTCTTACATCGAGGTATCGCACTCCTTGTAGGAATGGACTTGGCAGTCGCAGTTTCGTGCGCCTCTTCCAAACGGTGCCCTGGCGAACGAGGAGGCGACGTTTCACCGAGGTTTCCTCCTTCCCTCACACTCCAGTAACGTGGAAAGGCCAGCGATCTACAAACTCTTTTCTGGATTACTTGTGCTGAGAGTTACAGCAGCGAGGTGTAAAGAGGTGACCCCAGTTTTCTTAAAACCCAGTAACCTATTGAGAGAGAGGCGGTTTACCGGCGTCCCATTCGAAAAAGCCAGTCCTAAACATTCCCAGCCAACAGTTCCAAATGTACCAGCAAGACAGCTACGTTGCTTCAGTCGGAATCGCAAAAAAACCCAAAAGTCCACACTTTTAACACCCATTAGTTTAGTTTACATGCGAAAAACGCTTCACGTCGGGTTTATGGTGTTTGGCCAGGTTTCGATTAGGAAAGGCGACTGTTTGCAACAGCCGAAAATATTATAGGCCTTGAAATCATCTTCAAATTTTGAGCTCTATAAAGTAGCAGTAGAATGGATAGAAAACTGGCAAGATTAATCAGAAAGTTATATTGAGCGTTTGCTCAGGATAACTCTCTGGTGGGTTGCAATAAGCGTCCCAAAGCAGCGTGAACTTGTTTAAAGGGTTTTAGTGGATCTGAACAGTTTTAGAAACGCGACTGATAATTTTTATAACTATAGTGCGCTCTTGCTGGGACGGAAGTTCCATGGAACCTTTTGAGGTCTTCACGTAGATAAGACTGAGACTAACTCCTGCGAGGAGCAAGTCGTGAAAGATCCCCGTCTATGTTGCCGATGTCTTTATAAAGGCACCCAGAACAAGCTTCTCCCCTGAACAGCAGATCACGTAGAGTAGAAACCTTTAATCTGAGTAGGGATTTCCTTGCGGGGTTCCCCCGATGTTTAAGGCACTCAAAATGCTTCCAAGGTGGATCTCATTTTCATTGCTGAAAGTAATTCATTGTTCCTCCATTCATTACCACATATACACCGCCCCACATATGTATAAAACAGAAGCCCCCCCTAAACTTGTCGGCCGAAATACAGGTTTTGTTAAAAGCACCACAAGTTTAAAAAAAAAAGCAAAAGCACCACCGCAACCCTTACATAAAATAAGTTCACGCTGTAAAGGTCCGATACAGTCAACAGCCAGCACTTGAAGAGCACGGCCCTGTGCGCGCCTGCTCAGAAGTTCCGTGGGACTTACACCCATGTACGTAGGTCTAGGACTTGCAGCCTAAATTAAGTATTGATTTCAGTGGGAGAGGTTTAAGCAAGAGCTGAAGTCTCCCACTGAAATCGATGGGCCTCCAGAGTGCTGAACCTTGACTACATTCCTGCGCCCCTTTGTCCCACAGGGGTCTCTGAAAGAGATGCCCGTGCTTTCAAGCAGCAGACAGGGACCCTTGCCTGAGCTGGCAGTGCCACTTCAGACTGCAGAAGATGACACGTGTAATGCTTCCCCCAAACAGGATCCTTACTCCCAGGAAACAAGCGCGTCATCAAGGAAGTCAAGAGAGCATGGTTTTCTATTGGTGTGGAGCCTGCCATCTGAAGTGACATCAGCCAGACATAGGTTGACATCTCCTGGTGCCCTTCTCCGAAGTAAGCTCAACAGCAAGCCTCTTCCAAGAAAAGTGGAAGAGGAGGAGACTTGGCATCGGAGCCAGGAAAGCCATAGGCTAGTGACCTACTTGCCTGCTCCGGCTGCTGTTTGCTGCCCACTCGCCACTGCCCACTTTGCACCAGCATTTGTCCAAAGTACCTCGATATGGCAGGTATTGTTAGCGTTGTGGCAGGCACAACTCCTTTGGGGATGCCCGCTCAGCACCACCCTTTGGTGTTATTGGGCCAAGACGCATGGAGAGTCACATAATAACGTATGCTATTGTTAGCTATTGTGTTACACAGGTAAGTACTTCTGGGCGCGTGCAGAGTGTCAGTTCTTCACCTGATGCCCACAGTGCCCACAACCTTATAGACGTCCAACTGCCAGCGGGCAGTCCACAGGGAGCAGAATTCCCCCTTCCCCTCTCCTTTCCCGAATGAAGCGCTCTCCGCATCGCCCCTGACAAGAGTCGGTAGGCGTTTCATTTTCCTTCTTCAGCGAGCAACTTTGTAGCTCGTAGAGCTTCTGCAGTAGAGCCAGGACTAGACCTGGTCGTCGCTCACTTTTTCTTACCGCCGCTAGACCTCGTCTCCACATACCTTTTCTCCCAGGCCAAAGGCGATCGCTTTCAGGGCTGCTGCTCCTAGAAAACGGGAGCACTGGCGACTCTTCATCCTCACAGGGGTCGCTCCATCTTGATCAGCGAGAAGTGGCACCGTCTAGTCTCACCTCCCCAGCCAGCGTTCAGTCCTGCTCAGAGAGAACAGGAAAGGCGCGGGACGTGGAACTCTTCGAGCGGGACGTGGTCCTTCTCAAGCCCCACAGAGAGGGAGGAGGCGATCGGTCTCTAGCGGGTTGTAAATGGAGGGCGCTTGTTTTTTACCTCTGCGTTTCTTCTAAAGATAAGAGCCGTCACCAAAACACTTGAAGGAGACCCAGCGCTAGAATCAGACTCAGCCCTAGTTAGGAATCCGACGGTAGGGGACCCGACGGGTTCAGGTCTGGCACACGTTTAATATCCTGTCAACCCAGATTCTCCTCTCCGTGGTTACACACACCCACACACACCTGCTTTAGTAAATCCAGCTGCCAGGCGGATCTCGCTTCTAGCTTCCCGAGGAGAACGTGGTCTCTGCCCGAGAAGTCACGCTAAGGAGAAGCTGCTGTTCTTCATCATCCGGCTCCGACGTGACTTGGAACAAAAGCACTCTCTCCCGAGGTATGCGTTTAGAATCGGATTCTTAGACGGACAGAGAACTGGGAAAGCTCCAATCCTCATCCTTAAGCACAAGGCCGAAGCAAATCCGCTTTCGTTTCCACGGGACACGCTTCCCAAACGGTGCCACTCTCTGTAGTCCGTGCTCCGACGGCACGCTCATTTTCACTCGATATCTTAGGTTGGACCGGAAAATTCAAGCAATGTTGTAGCAGGGAGCCGAAATCTATCCTTTCCTGGGTACCGGGGGCGGAGGGGAGTGCTGTTTTCTTTCTTTAGCCCAGTGAAGCAATCGTTTGTGGCATGCAGTCCCCACACTGCAGTATCCGCACATTTCGTAGGCGCAATTTGTCCTGGCCATCCTTGGACATCCCTTTTCTGTGGACAAGACTTTCGATTTCTCGCTTTCTTTTCCCACTGCCCAATATTGAAGGCAGAGAACTGGAGGACTTCAAAGCTTGCTTCCAGTTAGGTGTTTCAAACAAGCCTCAATTCAAATCATATCCTACTTAGCAATTATAACGCGCTTTTTCCATGCTCAAAGCGCTCCTCTTCTATTATCTCAGTCATCTTTACAACAACCCTGTAAGGCAGGAGAAACGTTCTCATCCAGCGCGCACGCTCAAGGTGTTGCTTTCAAGCGGGGGGGGGAGCATTTCCTCTTTCGCCAACCTTGCTGCCACAGTTTTGCTGGAGGGCGTAAAAGGGACCCTGTCCAAGAGCGGCGGGCGCTCTCAAGCGCCAGGCGGGTGTGCGCTGACTCCGAGGGTCGTGCCGAACAGGCCTGGAGCGCACCCCTCGAGCAGTCGGTACAGCAGCCTGAAGAGGCGTCCGGGGCAGAGGCGTGCCTGCCCACCCATCCATTTGGTGTCCAAGGCAGGCCTTGCTTGGCAAGGCTGCCGCGGGGACGCCCCGGGCCTCGCAGGACTCGGCCTCCCCCAGCTTTTGGAGCAAGAAGTCGAGACGGCGCGGCGTCGAGGGTTCTCCGCCTGGCTCTCTCAGGGGTTCCCAGTGAGCGGGGTCGGGGTCCCGAATAGTTGCTGAGGGAACCCTCCAAGTTGGGGTTCCTCTCCCTCTGAGGGCCTCGGGGAGGCGGGGTCCCCTGTGCCTAGCAGGGGCTCCCTTTGAGGAGCGTGGGGTGGGGGCTCCTTGTACGCGAGGAGTGGTTTCCTACCTTGGAGCAGCTGGAGGTGCCTCTCTAATTGGCGGGGGACCCCCCTCTCCACTGGAGGGGGCTCCAGCCGCGGAGGCAGCGAGTGGCTGCTGGGGGGGGCAGCCTTCCTTGTGGCTCCGCCCCCGCCGGTGTCTGTCGTAAAGCGGGTGCCGCCGGACTAAAAGAAACCCCAGCTAGGAGGCGAGAGCTGCGGGAGGGCTGGCGCGCCGCCGCCGCCTCCTCCTGCTGCCGCCCCCTCCTCTCCTTGGCCGGGCTCCCGCGGCGGCGGGCGGCGGCGGCGGCGCTCAGCCCCCTTTTCGTCTGGACTGGGCAGCCGCGTCGGCCGGGCGAGCGAGCGAGCGCGCAGGGAGCCCAGGAGATTCGCCCGGCGAGCCATGTCGCTCAGCCCCAAGCACACGACGCCCTTCTCCGTCTCCGACATCCTCAGCCCCATGGACGAGACCTACAAGAAGTTCGGCGCCATGGACGGCAGCCTGGGCGCCCCCCTGGGCGTGGGCGCCGCCGCCTACCGGCAGCCCCAAAACGCAGCCCTGCCTCCGCCACCGCAGCAGCACCCCATGGGCGCCCACAACGCCGCCGCCGCCGCCTACCACTCCATGGCGCACGCCGGCGTCTCGCAGTTCGCTCACGGCCCCGTGGCCGGCTACTGTAACGGCGGGCTGGGCAACGTGGGCGACCTGGCACCTTATCCAGACAGCGTGCGCGGAAGCGCAGCCGCCTCGGGCTGGTACGGAGCCAACGCGGATCCCCGCTACCCCACGAGTAAGCGGGGAGGGGCTAGAAGGGAATAGGGCTGGTGGGGCTGGTGGGGCTGGGTACTCAGACTGCATTTTCTTGGGGGGGGGCTGGAGTGCGCCCCATCTTTGGTGGCCCGTCTCTTCCAGCGCCGCACCCCAAATCTGGAGGCCCTTACCCCTAAATTTGGGGAGCTAATTGGAATTCCGCAGTGGGGAGGGGGAAAATACTTTGGACGTGCTCAGGGACACTCTTGACATCTCAGGGCGCATAAGAGTCCCAGCTCTTTGGGGCTCAGTCGCCTTAAGCGCTTAATAAAGCTGACCTCTCCATACTTGGTGAGGGTGACGCTTTCGGCCCCAGGTCCCTTTCCCCGAGATTGCCCTCTGCTCTAACTGCCTCCTGACTCTCCCGTGTGTGTGTGTGTGCTCAGTTTCCAGGCTAATGGGCCCGTCGGGGGGCATGAACATGGCCGGCATGGGGGCTCTGTCGGGCATCGCAGAGGCTGCCAAGTCCCTGGCGCCCGGGCTGCACGCTGCGCCGCGGAGGAAGCGCCGGGTGCTCTTCTCGCAGGCGCAGGTGTACGAGCTGGAGCGGCGCTTCAAGCAGCAGAAGTACCTGTCGGCGCCCGAGCGGGAGCACCTGGCCAGCCTGATCCACCTCACGCCCACGCAGGTCAAGATCTGGTTCCAGAACCACCGCTACAAGATGAAGAGGCAAGCCAAGGACAAGGCCGCGCAGCAGCTCCAGCACCAGCCGCAGACGCAGACGCCTCCCGAGGGGCCCGGCCTGTGCCCGCAGCAGCCGCAGCAGCAAGCGGCGTCTCCCAGGCGCGTGGCCGTGCCGGTTCTGGTCAAGGACGGCAAGCCCTGCCCGCACAGCGCCGCCGCCGCCGCCGGTCAGTCTGCCGGACAAGCTCCCAGCGCCAGCGGGGCCGGGGGCAGCGCTGCCCAGCACCCCCAGCAGCAGCAGCAGCAGCAGCAGCAAGTGACCTCCCTGAGCCAGGCGCCGGACCTAGAAGAGATGTCCCCCAGCCCGCCTTCGCTGCACAGCCAAGTGGGCGCCCTGGCGCAGATGGACGCGGCGGCCGTCGAGTATAACGGCGGCCTGGTCAACGCCAGCTTGCTCTATGGCCGGACATGGTAACAACCCCACAAACACCTACCCACCCCCGCACACCCCCCAAAATAAACCGAACCGCCCTGTTGCTCTTCCTCCCCCGACTCCCGCAAGAGATGCCCGCTCCCGGGACGCAGCGACCTTCTCCTGCGCTGGCGGACTCCGACGGCAACCAACTGGACTCGGTTGGCTTAGGGAGACAGGGGCAAGCTCTCTCTGCCGTCTAAGTCCTCCTCGGCTCCAGATCATCCTCAGGCCACTAGCCCAGGTATCTGCCTACTTGCTGAAGACTACAGGGGGATTAAGGAACGATTTGTTAACGCGGAGCTGGGGATTATCCGCTGGGAGCAGGTTGTTCTCTGGCGTAATTTTGTCACCCGCTCCAGTGGTGGGCGGGAAAGCGGGGCAGAGAAGCCCCCCACCCCCAGCAAAGCTTGATCTGAATATGTTCATCAAGACAGCTCCTGGGTGGTTCCAGAACTGGGCTGGATCGGTGTTTTGTACATATCCGATCAAGGCAACCGAGCAAGATCAACAATGAAGTGCAACTTATCTCTGGAAAAAAAGGGAAGAGATCCTGTTACTAACACTAATAATAATTTTATATGGGAGTCCCTTAAGTGCAATCTCGTTATTATTGATTGAGAGCTGATTGAATTGGAACTCGAGGTCGGACTATCAGCATGATCCGCCATTTTTACAAAAGGGAAGGCGCAACTGTCGCCTGGAGGGTGGCGGGGGAAGGGAGAGAGAGGGAGAGAGAGGAACCCTGACATTCGGGATACCCCGCCATAGGGGTAATTTCCAATACAACTTTTTGGACGCGGACGCGCAAGAAAAGTTTTTAATTATTGTTATTTACTATGTGTTCGAATGTATTACTGGCAAAACCTCATACAAACCCAGCCATTGTAGAAAGAGCAGGCAAAACAAACGGCCGCCTCGTTTTACTGAAAGGTACATGAACAGATGAGCGAGATGGGCACCGCTCCCTGCCTAGTTCCCATAACAGGTCCAATTCCGTGAGAAGTTCTCCTGCGCAAACCCCACTGAAATCAATGCGAGCTGAGGAGGAGCACGAATAAACTTCCTCGAGGAGCAATGTGCGCCTCACTGAATTGGAATCTCCACGTTGGTAAAATAGGGTTGGGACTGTATTAAGAGCTGAGCTCTTAAGAGGACCAAAAGAAGCAGTAAACATGGACGGGGCGGATAGAAACGGCAGAATTCCTCTGTCCATTAGACTGGGAGCAAAAGTTCGAAATAAATCCACAGGCAGGAGAAGGTGGCCCTGAAACAGGAAACAAATTATGTTTGCCTTTGAAGGCTGAAATCCTCAGAAAAGTTTAAATTGCAGTGGGCTTTAAACAGTCTCGACCCAGTGTAGGATTGCGTCCAAAGTCATTTGTAGTCTCTGGCGTGGGCAGGAAAATCGCTTTTACATAATTTTGTAAGTCTGTTCTTTGGGCGGGGGGGGGTATTCTGTTGTTTTAATTGGCTGGCTGCTTTTTGCTGTTGTTTGCTGTTCTTAAAGATGGGGATTATTATTCCTTCCAACACGCCGGGTCTGAAATAGATCTGCCGTTCTCAAAACTAGCACGAGGTTTGTTCGTAACCATTTTTCCTCGAATGGTCATCAGAAGCAAAGAGATAATGTCCCACGAAGGTCCTGCTTGGCGGAGGCCGTGTGTGTGCGCGTGTGTGTGCGTGTGTGTGTGTGACTTTTAAATAAGTGGGTACAGTTTGAAAACCTCAGATTGAAAATAACACGAATAAAGTAAAGGCTGGATCGAAATCTGATCACAACCATGTCAGTGAGCCGATTCTGCCTACTTTACGCAAAGCAAGGGGATATCAGAAATTCATAAAACAGGATGCCCGAGAAGAGAGACGCTTGTGGTGCCGCGGTTGTTATAAGCCTATTGGAGGGAAGTTCCCGGTTTGCTGCTGCTTTTTAAAAAATTGATAACATAGGAGTTAATTTATATAATTTATGCCATTAGTTAGCTTTAAAGCGGGCACAAGCTCACCTGCCAAAACCCCACTGGCAGGACCAGGAGCCACGCGAAACCAGGGAGTTCCCGGTTCACATTCGTGGAGATGGCGCAGGAGAACTTCCAGGAGGCTTTAAGGTCCCGCTTTACCGAGCTGAATGGGGCTTTGCCACCACCCAGCTCTAAGTGCTTCTGGCCGGTGCTGAATTGAAGTTTCTTACACGTAAAGAGTTCTGTTTAGGATCTCAGAGCACAACCCAAGTACTCTTGCCCAGTGCACAGAATTCCCCTCCCGCCCTGGAATGGCGCGATCCTATGCACGTCTACTCAGAAAGAAGAAATACATTTCCTTGGGAGGAAGTCCGGTAGGACTTACTTCCCAGTAGACACGCGAAAGACTACGCTTTCAGTGCATTTTAGGTAATTATTTTGCAAACACGTTATTGGGCATGATGGATTTCTGTGTCTCCACAATTAAGATAAATTTGGGCATTTTCCATTGCTCTATTTTCTCCGTATTCCTCAAAGTGACATTTATTGCTAAATTTAGGTGGGAAGTCAGTTCCATTAAAACAAATGGATAGTTCTTTTTGAAGTTAACACTGGATCTTTGGAAATACAGTATGTGTCATTTAAAATAAACTCGGAACCAAGAGGACGCGATCTAACCAAAGCTGGGCTCTTGTTTAAGTCTTTTAAACGAGAAAGCTCCAGTTTAAATCTCTGCCTCTCGTTTCACACCAGTATGGTTTTGAAGTACCACACTTGGGCTGGATCTTGTCCATTCGGAGCAAGTTAGACTGCGATGGAAGGCCCATTTTAATTTAGAGGGATTTAGGCTGCACTCGCCACTTACCTAAGCCACGTTTAGTTCAATGGCACTTTCTTTTATATAAGCGCATGTTCTGCCGCACGTGGCATTTAAGGTGATTGCAGTCAATGGGACTTAAAAGTTAGTGGCTCTGAATTTACTTTAGCTGTATCAGGTTAGACTTAGAGGGACTAAGACACCGTGTTGTGTTTAGAAGTCGGGTTAAAAGAAAAGCAAAGCAAAACCACGCTGTGAACGAACGTCTTAAGGCTGCAATCCTAAATACTAGGAAATCAGTCCCATTGAACTCAGTGGGTCTTACTTGGGAACGCCAGTTAGAAAATGCATGGGGAAGAAAGAGAGAGGCTCAGACTGCAGAGAGACGAAATAGGCTTAGCATATTCTGTGGTGTTTGGTTGATGCGGGATTTTCGTCTTCTTCGCTGCTCCGGACCGAGGCCCGGAATGCTACCTATAACAAATGGCACACCTCTTTCCGATTAAATCCGTTTGAGATTCAACTATAATAATTATGAGATGGCACAAATACCTGGGAGTAAGTCTGAACGTACTGGGACTTGCTTCCCAGGAAAAATGCACAGGATCGGACTGTAAGTACTTAAATCCAAGTATTTGGACCTAGTGGTAAAAGGACCGGGTTGCATGAAATGTTACAATCCTGCTGCACCCTCACTTCCCTCCCACCTCTTATTGTATTTACTATCCTAAATAAACGTTTGGACAAAACATACTTTAGCCATTTGCAGACACCAGTTTTATTTTCCCTGTTATCTTGATTAGGATCACTTTATTTGGACCAATAAATATTCATTTTTAAGTTACTGTTCTTTGGGACTTAAAAGACAGTGACATCCAATTGTCTTAAAGTAAGAGAGGATAAGGCGGGGGCTGGGAAATATCAGCGACAAAGAACTTTTTGGAAAAGGAAAGCGTGCGAGACGGAGACAGAAAAATAATTCCATAATTATTAGGGAACTGGTGAGTTATTCGCCTGTTTTTAAGATGTACGCTTACTTACCTGTAAAACTAAATGCATTGCCTCGAAAGTCCATTGGACGTGGCAATACTCTCGAGTAAATGTGCATACTGTGACCCGACAATCCTATATGCACGTCTACTCAAAGGTAACATCCATTGAGTTTAGTGCGGCTTACTCCAAGCAAGTGAATCGCAGCCTAAACCTGATTAAAATTACTAGCACGTACTCTCCCACCCACCAGAAATGTTCCTAGGATAGAAGCGGAAATGGGTAAAGTCATAAGTTTATGAGCAGCACTGGGGCTGTAAACTACCTGGAAATAGTTCCCGCTGAAGCAAAAGGGAGTTTATTCTAAGTGAACATCTGTCGGATTGGGCTGCACAAAACTCTAAAGCGAATATAGAAACCGAGACCGCGGGGAAATGATGTGTTTGGGGCCACGCGAGAGTTTTGTCTTCCGTGGTTTGATCTGGCACAGTTCATTTAGACACGCGAGCTAGGAATGTGCACGTCTGAACCGGACCACACGCGGTGATCAGGAAAAAGCTGTTGCTTGGGCAGGCCATTCCTGCGGGAGGAAAGCGCGTGTGGACCGGGACATCTCCAGGCGCAAATATCTGTATACCAAGGTGGAGAGCCTCAGGTGGTCTAACTTGTTCTGGGCTCTGAACTAGCGGGGCTGAGCCCAAAGAATGAGAGCGACGGAGCATGCGAAGAAGCGACATTGGCTTGGGCCACCCCGGAATGGTAAAGGATTCTCTTGGTATTTACAGCAATTCAGTTTAGAGACGAAGGGACTTCCCCCAAACTACAAAGGCCTTTCCCGTGCGCCCAGGAGCTCCCCCAGCTCGCCTAAACTTGAGGGTGACGACGCAGATACACGCGCTCCAACTCGCCTGGAACTTCCTTCTCCGGACTTGAAAGGAACAGGCGCTCGGCAAGGCCTCTCCTGGTCACTCCAGCGGAGCTGGCGCCGCAAAACTGCCCGGTGATTTGTGCCAAATTATTCGTAGGGTTATTATTCATTTCTTAACTCTTGTGTGGGATTAAAATCCAATCAGACCATTTTTGCAAGCCCTGTTCCACACCATAATAAAGTGGAGGAAAGGAGATGGCATTGGCAGTTCTTTTTAATGTGAATAAAGAGCCAGAGATAAATGGAAGGAAGGGGCCTGAATATCGGGTGTTTGCTCTCAACTTTTATCTCTAGGAAAAAATGTTTAATTTAATAATCTAAATAAATGAGTTTCTTAATTTGTCCTTGCACAAAGGCAGCAACAGTTTTCTTAGTCCCTGCACAAAGGCTGTGCAAGTTTTCCAGTGTGCGCAAGTCTGGGAAAGTTTCATTTTAAACCTAGAAATTCTGTGTGTGAATGCACACATATATTATTAAAAAATGTGTATCTCACCCACAGTGAGTCAAGGGGAGCTCTTGGCTTCTCTGAAGCTGTAATGGGAAGCCTGAGAGATGTCTTTTGAATGCCTGACACCTTGGCACCAAGCAAGGAAACATCACTATTTAACTGCATGTCTAAAGCATACTAAGTTTAGCTTGGCAAGATTTGCTCAGGAATTGTGATGACTAAGCAACACTACTAAACTGACAAGGGCATGTTGCCCTCTCCACCATAATGCATCAGAAGATATCTACTTGTTCCCTGTGCAGCTCCTAACAGCAGAATAAAACTATTTTTTAAAATAACAAATATTATAACCATTGCAAGTCTTTACTACTCTGCCCATCCATAGCTAAAGTATATATGCTAGCTACTGAAAGCAGTCTTTGCATGTGCCTGTATAAATATATTGTAAAAGGTTCCTGGTGCTAATTTGCCCTCCAACTTAAAACCCCTTTATGACTGAAAAGCCAAACTGGTTCTTTTTGGGTAGCAGCGAGGGTTTCTCCGTCTTCCTCGGCCCAGACCAACCTTCCTTTCCATTCAGCTGCGGCATTTTTCGGGCTGCTTGAAAGAAAGGGCTTCTTCTGCAATTAGTGCTGCTGAGACCCTTAAGGCGAAGACAAACCAGGCAGACTTGGGTGAAGCTCATTATCTGAAGAGGTGGATAAGTGTCTTTGGTGCGGCCCGGCCAGGAAGGGGTCTTAAGTGGGAACAAAGAGCCTCCCGAAGTTTCTCTGGTGCAGTGGAGGGCAAAGTCAGCTGGAGGAGCACTCTCCCTCTCCAGCCCCTGGAGTTGGGGGCCCTCGAGAGGCTGCTCTGGGCCTCCGGCAGGCCTTTAATTGGCGGCCAAGACTGTCCAGGAGAGAGACCTGCATTTAACTCTGCAAAGAGGCACCTGCATGGGGGAGAAGGGGCTGGACGAACCGGCTCCTCCTGCTGCGACTCTGAAGGCAAGTAGGGATTATTTCATGGTCTCTTAGGGGAATTTCAACCTAGGGGTGTATGAGAACCACCATCCAGAACCATCCCTGCAAAAAACCCTCTCCCCTGTGTACCAGGCTCTGTACAGAGGCAGAAATGACAGGGCCTTTCCCCACAATAACTGACACAAATTGATAACAAAGATTCTTATTGCACCCTAAAGACAGACATGTTTGTTATAGCGCAAGTTCTTTTGCTGTGACAGGCTGACAGGACTACCTTGCTGGGAGCGCAAAATAATCTATCAGATTGATAGTATTTTTGAATTGGTATAGTCAGTGGCGTAGCGTGGGTTGTCAGCACCCAGGGCAAGGCAAGTAATTTGCGCCCCCTAACCCGTGGATTTTAGAACTCGAGTGCGAGCGCGCCCCCCCCATGTTGCGGCCGGTCCTCCTGCACCCCCCCACGCTACGCCACTGGGGCTGGGGGCGAGCCAAGGACCCCCCCAAAGTCTCAGCAGGAATTTATTAAATTTATTATTTGCGGAGCCCCCGCGGGCCGAGGCAGCCGAAGCCCCCTCCCCTCGGGCGCCTCCCCGCCCCCTCCTCTCCTTGGGCTGTAGGTGGAGCCCGCGCTCCAAGGCGCTCCAGATCCGGGCTTGGCGAGCGCCTCTCCTCCTCCTGGCCGGGTCCGGGGGCTTCCAGCCGCGCTCCGTCCTTGCCCGCCCGCCCCCCCCCCCGTGGCTGAGACTTGCGCTGAGAGCCGGAGCCAGTGGCGCCCCCTTCCGCCGGGAGACCCTCGCCTGCCGGCTTCCTCTCGGAGGGTTTTGGGGAGCGCAGGGCACGGCGAGGCCCCTCGGAGCTCTCCTCCCTCCCAGTCAGCAGAAGCAGCCGCCGCCTGTGGCTGGGCCGAGGGGATGGCGGCGGCGTTGGGGTGCGGAGGCTGCCCGTGCCCGGCCAGGCATCGGTGGCGGCGTTGGCGCTGCTGCAGCGGCTGCTCCTCCTGCGAGCAGTGAGTGGAGCGCAGCCGCAGTGGCGGCGGCGGGGGGGGCGCGCGCGCTAGGGCGCAAGGCTGGCGGTGGCGGTGGGGAGCCCGGCGGAGGAAGGAACTTGTCCCTTCCCTCTGGACTCGCGCCCCCCAGATGTTGCGCCCCGTGCGGCCGGCACCCCTGGCACCCCCCACGCTACGCCACTGGGTATAGTCATTGGCTAGGGCAAAGAAGCCACAGAGAATAAATCAGTCCTTTCCTGGATCATTCCTCTCCGTCCTGTTATTCAGAGCTCTAGAAATTTGGGGCTCTGTTCAACTACAAAGAACAGGTGTATCTTTGCTAGGGTCCTTCCGAAGGGAAAGGTGCTGGGAAAGAGTCGCAGGAAAGTGTCTATAAAGGCAACAGCTTTTCTGATTGGCTGGCAAGGACATTTTCCAAGCAGGGAAAATTGTAACTGCTTCACATGATTTGTAGAGCATAAACCTAAAATGTGAAGTGTGAACACAACCAACCAAGCATTTGCAAACAGTTCCTCACACAGAAACACTCCACAGAAAGCTACAATAAATAATAATAATAATAATAATAATAATAATAATAATAATAATAATGTTAATATTTATACCCCGCCCATCTGGCTGGGTTTCCTCAGCCACTCTGGGCGGCTCCCAACATAGAATCAAACATTAAAAACTTCCCTAAACAGGGATGCCTTCAGCTGTCTTCTAAAAGTCAGATAGTTGCTTTATTTCCTTGACATCTGATGGGAGGGCATTCCACAGGGCAGGCGCCACCACCGAGAAGGCCCTCTGCCTGGTTCTCTGTAACCTCACTTCTTGCAGTGAGGGAACCGCCAGAAGGCCCTCGGTGCTGGACCTCAGTGTCCGGGCAGAACGATGGGGGTGGAGACGCTCCTTCAGGTATACTGGGCCGAGGCCATTTAGGGCTTTAAAGGTCAGCACCAACACTTTGAATTGTGCTCGGAAACGTACTGGGAGCCAATGAAGGTCTTTCATGACCGGTGTTATATGGTCTCAGAGGCCGCTCACAGTCATCAGTCTAGCTGCCACATTCTGGATTAGTTGTAGTTTCTGGGTCACCTTCAAAGGTAGCCCCACGCAGAGTGCATTGCAGTAGTCCAAGCGGGAGATAACCAGAGCATGCACCACTCTGGCGAGACAGTCTGCGGGCAGGTAGGGTCTCAGCCTGTGTATCAGATGGAGCTGATAAACAGCTGCCCTGGACACAGAATTGACCTGTGCCTCCATGGATAGCTGTGAGTCCAAAAATGACTCCCAGGCTGTGCACCTGGTCCTTCAGGACCAGAGAGTCCTCCACACCTGCCTGTCCCGTCCCCCAAAAACAGGACTTCTGTATTGTCAGGATTAGCTGCAGCTTTCTTTTTTTAAATTTTTTTTTATTCAAAGTTATAACAAAACATATT